CAGAATGATTACAATTTTTCCTACTCCGACAGATACTCGCCATACTCAAGTCTAAAACTTTCTCACCGTGAAACATCCATATTTTTTCTTTTGCCTACTACATTTCATAGAAACTACACTCAAACATAAACCCTTCCTCCCAAAATTTCCCACTAACCTTAACAGGCGCCGACCTAACAAGGACACATCACTTTTTGATTAAACCCCTGTCCGTACCACACTATGTAAGAACTCTGTGCACATAAAGGGCCCCAAAATTTGGAATAAATTTCATAAATACTAAAGTAAACCCGGTCTGACATTCAATTTAAATCTATTCTCAAAAACCAAAACTTCTCCCCTTAACTAAATATTAAATACTCAATACTTAATTAAGATCTCCAATACCTAAATCTTAAACATCAAAAATTTAAATAGCCCCAAAGTTCAATATAAACTTACTATACATTGTAGTATAAAAACCTGCACAAAACTATACTGCCTTACACCATATTGTAACATTCTCATACTGTAAACTATTTTCACCAGCGCTCAATATTTTTTTTTTTTTTTTTTTTTACACCGGCCGTTCCCCCAAGGCAGGGTGGCCGAAAAAGAAAAACTTTCACCATCATTCACTCCATCACTGTCTTGCCAGAAGGGTGCTTTACACTACAGTTTTTAAACTGCAACATTAACCCCCCTCCTTCAGAGTGCGGCACGTACTTCCCATCTCCAAGACCAAGTCCGGCCTGCCGGGTTTTCCCCCAATCCTTCATAAATGTTACTTTGCTCACACTCCACACACCGTCAAGTATTAAAAACCATTTGTCTCCATCACTCCTATCAAACACGCTCAAGCATTGCCTGCTGGAAGTCAAGGGCCCCCCGCACACAAAACTCCTTTACCCCCTCCCTCCAACCCTTCCTTGGCCGAACCCCTACCCGCCTTCCTTCCACTACAGACTGTAAAACTCTTGAGTCATTCTGTTTCGCTCCATTCTCTCTACATGTCCCAACCACCTCAACAACCTTCCTCAGCCCTCTGGACAAAAAGTTTTGGTAATCCCGCACCTCCTCCTAACTTCAAACTACGAATTTCTGCATTATATTCACACCACACATTTCCCTCGACATGAATCTCCACTGCCTCCAGCCTTCTCCTCGCCCGCAACATTCATCACCCACGCCCTTTACACCCATATAAGAAACGTTGGTTAAAACTATTTCTCTCATACATTCCCCTCTTTGCCTCCAGGACAAATTCTTTGTCTCCACAGACTCCTAATGCAACACTCAACTCTTTTTTTCCCTCATCAATTTCATGATTCACCTCATCTTTCATGACCCAACCGCTGACACTCCCCCCCAATATTGAATACGTTCACCTCCTCCCTCTCTCTCCCTCCAATCTGATATTCAATCTTCATCACCTAAACTTTTGTTATCCTCATACCTTACTCTTTCCTGTATTCACCTTAATTTTCTTCTTTGCCACCCACCCAAAATTTCATCCACAATCTCTGCAACTTCCCTTCTTCAGAAATCTCCCAAGGAAACAGTGTCATCAGCAAAGGCACTGGTGACAACCTTCCCACTTTGTGTGTGATTCTTTATCTTTTAACTCCACGCCCTTGCCAAACCCTGCATTTACTTCTCTTACAACCCCATCTATAAATATATTAAACAACCACGGTGACATCACCACCATCCTTGTCTAAGGCCTACTTTTACTGGAAAAATTTCCCTCTTTCCTACATACTCTAACTGGCCTCACTATCCTCGTAAAAACTCTTCACTGCTTACAGTAACCTACCTCCTACACCATACACTTGCAACATCTGCCACATTGCCCCCCTATCCACCCTGTCATCGCCTTTTCCAAATCCATAAATGCCACAAAGACCTCTTTAGCCTTATCTAAATACTGTTCACTTATATGTTTCACTGTAAAACCTGGTCCACAACACCCCTACCTTTCCTAAAGCCTCCTTGTTCATCTGCTATTCCTATTCTCCGTCTTACTCTTAATTCTTTCAATTATAACTCTACCATACACTTTACCAGGTACACTCAACAGACTTATCCCCCTATAATTTTTGCACTCTCTTTTATCCCCTTTGCCTTTATACAAAGGAACTATGCATCTCTCTGCCAATCCCTAGGTACCTTACCCCCTTTCCCTACATTTATTAAACAATTGCCCAAACCACTCCAAAACTATATCCCCACCTGCTTTTAACATTTCTATCTTTATCCATCAATCCCGGCTGCCTTACCCCTTTCATTTTACCTACTGCTCACGAATTCCCCCACCTCACAACTGGCTCTTCCTCACTCCTACAGATGTTATTCATCCTTGCCCTATACACAAACCCAGCTTCCCTATCTTCATCAACATTTAACATCCTCAAATATTCTTCATCTTCCCAATACCCCTAATCTCCATTTAATAACTCTCCTCCCTTTTTTAATACAAATCATTGTTCTCTAGGCTTTCTTAACTTGTTAATCTCACTCCAAAACTTTTCTTATTTTCAACAAAATTTGTTGATACATCACCCACTCTCTCATTTGCTCTCTTTTTACATTTCTTCACCACTCTCTAACCCCTTTTCTTTTCTCCATTATACTCTTCCCTCCTTCTCACTTTACTTTTTAAAAAAACTTCTCATATGCTAACTTTTTCCCCTTACTACTCTCTTTACATCATCATTCCACCAATCCTCCTTTTTTCCTCCTTTGCACCACTTTCCCTTTAAACCCCAACTTTTCTGAAGACTCTACATACATTTTTAAACCTACCCCTTACCTCTTCGACCCCATTGCCTATGCCCCTTCTTACCCATTTCCTCCAATAGCTGTTTATTCTTCCCTAACTCCTCCTCTTTTAGTTTATAAACCTTCACCTCTCTCTTCCTGATGCTTCTATTCTCCTTTATCCCATCTACCTTTTAATCTCAGTTAGCTACCTGAAAGTGATCTGATTATCTTGGCCCCTCTATAAACATGTACATCCCGAAGTCTCTCAACAGTCTTTTATCTACCAATACTAATCCAACAAACACTGTCATTTCGCCCCACATCTATCGTGTATACTTATTTATCCTCTTTTTCTTAAAATATGTATTACCTATAACTAACCCCTTCATACAAAGTTCAATTTAAGGGCTCCCATTATCATTTAACCTGGCACCCCAACTTACCTACACACCCTCTCTAAAATTTTTCCTACTTTGCATTCAGGTCCCTACCACATTACTCTCTCACTTGGTTTAAAGCCCCTATACATTCACTTAAACTCCCAAAATCTCTCTCTCTCCTCTGCATTTCCCCTCTTCTCCCGGTGCATACACGCTTATTATGACCCACTTTTCGCATCCAACCTTTCTTTTCCACATAATTCTTGAATTTACCATTCATATTCTCTTTTCTCCTTCATAACTGATCATTTAACATTATGCTACCCCTTCCTTTGCTTCTAACTCTCCAGTACTCCAGATTTTAAACCCATTTTTCCCCCACTGAAACCTCCCACCCCCTTCAGCTTGTTCGTTAGGCCAGGACATCCAACTTCTTTCATCATAACTCAGAATATCTGTTTCTTGTCATCCCCTACATCCCGCACATTTAAGCAACCCAGTTTTTAAAGTTTTTCTTCTTCTTTTTTAGAATAGTAACAGGAAAGGGGTTACTAGCCCCTTGCTCCCCGGCATTTTAGTCGCCTCATACGACACGCATTTGGGTTAGGGAAAGTTCTTTTCCACTTCCCCTGGACAATAGAGAAATAAAAAGAACAGAGCTATTAGAAAAAGGAGAAAAACCTAGAATAAAATTATAATATTTATGCTGTGCGTGTCGTGAATGTGACCAAAGTGTTAGTAGGATTTGCAGTATCCCTGTTTTCTTAGCGTGTTTATGAGACAGAAAAGAACCAGCAATCCTACCATCATGCAAAACAATTACAGGTTTTTGTTTCACAGTCATCTGGCAGGACAGTAGTACTTCCCTGGGTGGTTGCTGTCTACCAACCTACTACCTATTATATTACAATAATATAACTTAAATATTTACTATGGATATACACAACCTACAAAATATCTTCACATTGTCCCAACGTAATATCCTCAGATTGTAACTTGAGTTAACTTACTGTCCGCTTTAAATAAAAACAAATGTTCAACTTAAACTATGATCAATTTCTCTAGTATTAAGTAGTGTGTAAGACATTAATTTAGTCTGGTCATAATGGCGTGGCATGATAGTGGCACTTTGTACTCCAACTTATTATTGTAACTACAGAATCTCAAGTAAACTTGCAAAGAAATAAAAATTGTATTGTATTGTATTGTATTGTATTGTATTGTATTGTATATCTGACAGAGACAGAGATGTAAGCCACAGCACCGTGTCTTACTTTGCGGATGACACACGAATTTGCATGACAGTGTCATGATAATATACACCTGAAAAATCCTAGAGGTACAAGTCCCAAATGTGCACACGAAAATCACTCCCCACGAAAGCATAAGATTGGGCAGGAGATGCAACATCCCTCTCAGTGAAAAGCAGAGGCGTCACGTGTACCCTAAGAGACAACACAATAAATGTCATGGGGCCAAGACTGTTCAACTGCCTCCCAGCATACATACGGGAGATTACCAATAGATCCCTGGCTGACTTCAAGAAGGCGCTGGACAGGCACCTAAAATCAGTACCTGACCAACCGGGCTGTGGTTCATACTTCGGTATACGAATGGCCAGCAGTAACAGCCTAGTTGATCAGGCCCTGATTTACCGCGAAGCCTGGTCACGGACCAGGCTCAGGAGGCGTTGAACCTCGAACCCCTCTCCAGGTATACTCCAGGCATAACCAGGGGCTTTCTATATAGTATCTCACTGATGTCAGCTATGGTCTTAGAAGTTGTATCACGTACTAGCAAAAATAAAGATTATTAATACATTCCTGGATATGTACTTTGAGGTTCTGTGACGTCATGACAGCTGTCTCCTTTCTCACACGACTATCGAGACGTCAAACACCTGTGGACCGCCGTCAAG